TTTAGGCCTTCTTTTGGAGACTTTGGGGCTCTCTGACCCAGCTGCAGTATGTTAGCTTTTAGATTGCAAAAGACCAGGCCATTCAAATGCAAAAGCCTCTGCACATAGCTTGGGTGGGGTTATAAATTGGGTGGGGCGGGGTCTCAGGGAATCACCAGGGTGGAGCAAACAGCAGTGGCTGACCATCAGCCCTGCCCCAAAGAGTTCCCTGGTTCTCTGTTGAAAAAAATACAATTTAGATTTAAACGCAGTTAGATTAGGCAATGATACTAATAGTGTCAGGTCCCCATCACTACTCTCACTTTTTGTATCAACCCTCCATTAAGAGGCACTTGGGCCCTAACTGGTTTGGCTCAGTGAGTAGAGCATCAGCCTGTAGAATAAAAGGTCCTAGGTTAGATTCCAGCCAAGGGCATGTACCTTGGTTGTGGGCACATCCCCAGTAGGAGATATGCAGGAGGCAGCTGCTTATTGATGTTTCTAACTCGATCCCTCTCCTTTCCTCTCTGTAAAAAATCAATAAAATGTGTTTTAAAAAGAAAAAAGAGACACTTGAGCACTTATTAAGCACTAGAGGCCCATGGCACGAATTTGTGCATGGGTGAGATCCCGTGGCCTGCCCAGCAATCGAGGCCTATCTGGGGGCTGGCTGGCCAGGGGGAGGGATTATGAGAAGTTGGCCAGCTGGCCTCCTGATCAGGGCCGATCAGGGGGCAAGCAGGGGGAAGGGGTCATGGGAGGTTGGCTGTGGGAGCTCACTGACTACCAGAGGGCAGCTCCTGTGTTTAGCATCTTCCCCCTGGTGGTCAGTACACTTCATAGGACTGGTCGACTGTTCATTCTGGCCATTCTGGTTGTTCAGTCATAATGGTTGCTTAGGCTTTTATATATATAGATACTGATTCCTCAATCCCTTTCTAAGCCTATTAAATCTAAATTTCTAGGAATGTGTCATTCTTAACAAGCTCCTCAGGTGATTCTTACCCATGCTAAAGTTTTAAAAATAAGATGAACATTTGTTGATTACAAACACATTTTCTATTGGATTTAAGTAAGTTATAACATACATGTTAGTTTGCAAAATGACAGTGGTGTTCTAAGACAACATGTCTGTAGACAGAAACCAGTAGAAAATATCTCTTATGTAGAGTATACTATCTAATAAAACAGTAATATGCAAATTGTTGTACCTCCACTACACCTAAAAGCCACGACCACCAGCCAATCAAGAGTGAGTATGCAAATTAGCCCAACCAAGATGGCTGCAGCCCCAGAGAGATCAGGAGACTTGGGTTTCTCTGGTAATGGAGGATGCCAAGTTTTCCACCTGCCCTGGCCTGCCTTGACCTCCACTCAAGGCTACAAAGTTTCAATTATAGAAGATAAGTAAATCCCAGATACCAAGGCCTCTGCTTGGGTCACTGGGGGGTGTGCCAGCCTGCAAGCCACCGTAAGCCGCTCACCCAGGCCACTCCACATCCCAAGGGAACCTCCACCCTGATCCAGGACACCCTTCAGGGTAAACCAGCTGGACCCCACCCATGCACCAGGCCTCTATCCTATCTAATAAAAGAATAATATGCAAACTGAATGTCACTCCAACACATAAGATGGCTGACCTCATGTGGACAGAAGATGGTCACCACAAGATGGCCATCAGGGGAGGGTAGTTGGGAGGGACCAGGCCTGCAAAGGAAGGCAGTTGGGGGTGATCAAGCCTGCAAGAGAGGACAGTTAGGGACAACCAAGTTGGCAGGAGAGTGGTTAGGGGGTGATCAGGCTGGCAGGCAGAAGTGATTAGGGGCAATCAAGAAGGCAGGCAGGTGAGCGGTTGGGAGCCAGCAGTACTGGATTTTGAGATGTCGGGTCTAAATGGGCAGTTGAACATCCCTCAGGCAGTCCAAGATTGGAGAGGGTGCAAGCTGGGGTGAGGGACACCCCTCCTGTGCACGAATTTTATACTGTGGGCCTCTAGTTTTATTAATAAGACCCCATTACAACCAGAACTACAAAATACTACTATACAAACACTTAAAACTTTGTGCCTTAACCTGCACAAGTTTAAATTCACTTGATTAGACAAGGCAATACTATCCATTCTCAGGACCTTTTTAAAAAAATATATTTTTATTGATTTTAGAGAGGAAAGATGAGGGAGACAAATAGAGAAGCATCAATGATGAAAGAGAATCAGGAATAGGCTGCCTCCTACACATCCCACACTGGGGATCGAGCCTGCAAACTGGGCATGTGCCCTCAACTGTAATCAAACCCAGGACCCTTCAGTCCACAGGCCAACGCTCTCCTCCACTGAGCCAAACTGGCGAGGGCCATTCTCAGGACTCTTAACCATCGTCTCTCTGCTAATTCTTTGTCTCCACAATACTGCACGTGGACAGGAATCCCTGGTCAGCCCTTTGCTGCTTTTTCCTGTTGGCTAATAGTCTCTGCTGTACCACCTAGCCATATGTTTTCCTGCATTATCCAGAAAGATATCATTACCCTCCCAATTAAGCAAAGAGGAGAAAGACCTTTGGATTCTAGATAATTATCTACCTTTACATTGCAGTTTCAAACATGATTTCTGGGGGGCTTTGACTGTAATTATATAGTGTTAAGCTGGCTGGGGTCCCCTTTGGGTCATAAAGCAAGTTCTTGATAGCAAGTATTAGAAACATCTTTCTAGGGCAGTTCAAAGTGCCTTGGCTTTTATTATTCGAGAGAACTTTGGCCCCTCTTTTAGAGGACTCAGTTTTGGTGGAGATCAGCTGATAATAGCCACAGATCTGAGTCGACAGAATCACCCTGGAAGAGGAGCAGGACATGGTGAAAAGCTAAGGAAATGCATTAGGAAGGACTGAGGAAGAGTGAAATGATGCATCGCTGTAGCCACCATCAGAATCACCTCTTAAAATTTTTACACACCCAGGGTTCACCCCAGACTACTCAATCAGAAGCAAGAATCTGTCTTTTTAACCAAGCCCTAAGGATGAACCTAGTGTGCAGCCCGGATAGGGAAGCGTGTTGGTAGAATTGTTGACTGGGGCTGTAACAGTGGAGGAAGACTGAAGGCAGCAAAGCCCCAGGACAATGGGGGGCAATGGGGTTCCCTTGCAACTGGTCAAGGGAAGTGTTGGAAGTGAGCAGGGACCAGACTTCAGAGCACAGTACTGTGGTCAGATTTGACATGGTAAAGCAGCGACATTGGCCGAAACCGGTTTGGCTCAGTGGTAGAGCCTCAGTCTGCGGACTGAAAGGTCCCAGGTTCAATTCCAGTCAGGGGCATGTATGTTGGTTGCGGGCACATCCCCCGTAGGAGGTGTGCAAGAGGCATCTGGTCGATGTTTCTCTCTCATTGATGTTTCTAGCTTTCTATGTCTCTCCCTTCCTCTCTTTAAAAAATCAATAAAAATATATTTAAAAAAAAAAAAAAAGAGCAGCGACGTTGAACGTTGGTAATTGTGAAAACAAACACATGTTGTCTTTTGAGAGCACTGACTGAGCAGGAGCTTAGGAGACTTGCCCTGATCGCAGGGTGAAATATAAAAAGTATAAGCACCACTTTGTTTGAGACACAGTGTTTCCTAGCGGTTTTGCAACCAGTGGGTTTTTCTTTCTTTCAGATTCCGACCTGACATCTTCACCAAAGGAAACTGAATGTTGTTTTTTTTTTAACTAACAGGGGTCTTCTATTAAAACTTTAGCTATCCGGATATCACTAATAATCACACATGAAAGCTGACAATCATTGGAAGCATCTGTTTTAATAACAATTTTATGGAAAAGCAAAGAACTCTATCTCAGAGTCCTCTTAGGGAACAGCTGAGACAATGCTTGTGGAATACCTTTGTAAAGACTGGTTATAATTGCTATTAAATAGAAACACTTCAGCCAAGACTGGTTTGGCTCAGTGGATAGAACGTCAGCCTGCAGACTGAAAAGTCCCAGGTTCGATTCTGGTCTGGGGCATGTAATTGGTTGCGGGCACATCCCCAATAGGAGGTATACAGGAGGCAGCTGATCGATGTTTCTCTCTCATCGATGTTTCTAACTATCTCTCTCCCTTCATCTCTGTAAAAAGAACAAACAACTATCTCTATATATAGATATAGATATAGATGATATAGATATAGAGATAGATAGAGATAGATAGAGATAGATAGAGATAGATAGAGATAGATAGAGATAGATAGAGATAGATAGAGATAGATAGAGATAGATAGAGATAGATAGAGATAGAGATAGATAGAGATAGAGATAGATAGAGATAGAGATAGAGATAGAGATAGATAGAGATAGAGATAGAGATAGAGATAGATAGAGATAGATAGAGATAGAGATAGATAGAGATAGAGATAGAGATAGATAGAGATAGAGATAGAGATAGAGATAGAGATAGAGATAGAGATAGATAGAGATAGAGATAGATAGATTTTTTTTTAATAGAAATACTTCAGCCGAAACCGGTTTGGCTCAGTGGATAGAGCGTTGCCCGGGTTCAAATCCGGTCAAGAGCACGTACCTTGGTTGCGGGCACATCCCCAGTGGGGGGCGTGCAAGAGGCAGCTGATGGATGTATCTCTCTCATTGATGTTTCTAACTCTCTGTCCCTTTCAATTCCTCTCTGTGTAAAATCAATAAAATAATTAAAAAATAAAAAAAAGAAATACTTCAAAGGCAAAATAGACATTGTTCAGGGTGGTTGCCTTGAAAAAAAGCAACAACAACAAAATAACCTTGCTGATCAGTGAAGGGCAAGGGGGGAGAGAAAACAACAGAAAACCTGAGGGAGAAGAAGCCTCCGTCCCCCTAACTTGATGGTTTTATCTTCCAGATAATCATAACAGCCTGGAAATTCAGGCGCCCTTAGGAGAAGGGGAGCCCCTTCCACAGGGGAGATGTGATGAAAAGCCTTCTCGACTGGTATCTATATTATATCGAACTAATACTTCTTTGGTTTTGTTTTTTCAGGCAGCGACCTTTTGAAGGGATCCTGAAAAATGAACCCAGTTGTCACGCAGCCAGGATACGGTGCGGGAGGTTCCACGGTCAGTGACTGGCAAACTGGCACCTTTGACTGCTGCAACGACATGGGGATCTGTAAGTGCACCTAGTCTTCGCTTTCCCCTGGACTGCCGGTAACAATGCAGGTTATTAGCATAACAAAGAAGTGGTTTGTTTATCCTATTGCTGAGTTCTACGTTTCACTCTCTAACTCAGATTTCGCCACCAGGTGTGTTGTGCTTGTCCCTTACATAATAAGCCTTCTTGATGTACTAATTTTAATATAGTAGCAAACACCTAAAAATTAGATTTCACACGAAAATTTAGCTTTTCGATCCAGATGTCCAGCTTCCCTTGAAAATTTGGAAAAATCTAGAAAGATGAGTTCCCATTCTCACGTGGCACAGTACTAGCCAAGCCCCTAAAAAAGGATTCTCACTCTGCAATTTGCCACATTTATGTTCACCATCCACTGTTTTGGGGTTTTTCCAATCTACCTCACACAGTTATTTTACCTGCCTCACTTGAGTATGTGATCCTTGTTTAGATCAATCGCCTTTTTTTAAATGTCTCACCTCTTTATGCTCACCATGTTCTTTTTAAAAATATATATATTTTTATTGATTTCAGAGAGGAAGGAAGAGGGAGAGAGAGAAGAAATGTCAATGGCAAGAAGGAATCATTGATTGACTGCCTCCTAAATGCCCCAACTGGGGATAGAACCTGCAAACTGGGCATTTGCCCTGACCAGGAATGGAACCGTGACCTCCTGGTTCATAGGTCGACACTCAGCTGCTGAGCCACATCGGCTGCGCTCACCATGTTCCTGACATGATTCTCCAGTTTTACTCTTCCTTTCCTGAGAAGCTGACTGTTTTCTGGCTTTCAGTGGTACTCTTGGGGCTGTCCCATTTCAGGAAGCAGTGCAGGTTTTTATTTTACTAACATAATTATTTTGCATTACCAATCACATTTTTGCATGAGAAAAATTTCCTTATTTCAGAGTCTACCATCATATGAGCTGCAAATGCTTTGTGTGGAACATCTTTCCAGTGTCTTTGAGAAACAGCCTCCTTATTTTTAAATTATTTTTACTTTTATTTTTTGGTACATGCTGTAGGTACCCAGTTCATTAGAGATAGCCTTTTGTGTAAAACAATAAAAATAAATAAATAAAAAAGCAAGCCCTTTCTTATCTCATTGGGGGTATAGCATTATCAAAACTCCACCTCAGACCTGGCTGGTTTGGCACAGTGGATAAAGCATAGGCCTTCGGACTAAAGGGTCTCGGGTTCAATTGGGGTCAAGGGCATATGCCCTTGGTTGCAGGCTCAGTCCCCAGTGGGGGGTGTGCTTGAGGCAGCCGATCAATGATTCTCTCTCATCATTGATGTTTCTATTTCTCTCTTCTCTCCCTTCCTCTCTAAAACCAATAAAAATACACTGAGTGGCCAGATTATTATGATCTCTGAACGCATAATAATCTGGCTACTCAGTGTATATCCTATATAATAAAAGGCTAATATGCAAATTGTCCCCTCGACCAGGAGTTTGACCAACAGGCAGGCTGGCCAACTACCCATGTCCCCTCCCCCTGGCCAGGCTGGCCGGATCTACCCACCCATGCACAAATTCATGCACTGGGATATATATATATATGTGTGTGTGTGTGTATATATATATATATTGAATGGCCAGATTATTATGCTTTCAGAGATCATAATAATCTGGCCACTCAGTGTATATTAAAAAAAGAAAAAAAAAGAAAAGAAAACTCCACCTCAGAGCTTTCCAAAATAGACTTTTACTCAGAGCATGTTTGAGAACCGTCTCCTGTTTTTGCCATTCCCCTAGGCCCGCTTTTTGTCTTACACAGATTCCTTAAAGTGCCATTGCAGCCAGCTTTTTAAGCTTTCCGTGCTCCTATCCCTTAACTTCTGCTTGCTTCCGTCCTCATGTCGATACCAGGGCCTGGCTCTTTGCCTGCATGACCACCTAAAACCTAGTCCCTGTTGCTTTTCTCATTTTGGCACCAACAAACTTCCTACAAACAAACATGGCCCGAACATCAACTAAGGCCGGGAAGAGAGATCCGTTTCACGTGCTCGGATTGACAAGGCAGAAGCTTTTGCCATGAAACCTGGCCTGATGTTATGACATGCACATTTCCCCAACCCCCGGGCAGCCGGGCCCAGAGCAGTGCACACAGAGGAGGGACCGCACAGAGGAGGGACCGCACTGCTTGCTCAGAGGGCCAGAGGCCAGCTCCCCGGCGAGCACCTTTGGAAGGCGGTGTGCTTCCGTGGAGACCAGATGCCTTGGCCTCACTGCCTTGTGCCTTTCCTCCCACCCAGGCCTCTGCGGGACGTTCTTCCCGCTGTGCCTTTCGTGCCAGATTGCCTCGGACATGGACGAATGCTGCCTGTGCGGAGCGTCTGTGGCCATGAGGACCCTGTACCGAACGCGGTACGGCATCCCGGTGAGTGACCCTCCGTCCCCGAGAGGCGGGCAGCCCCGGCGCCCATGACCGCCCCCCTCACCTGCATGCCCTGACCCGGTCTTTTCCCCGTTACCACCCTGCACGCTAAAGTGATTTACGGGGGGCAGGGTGGCTATCTGTACTTCGGGATATATGTACAATAAAATACCTTATTGATGCAATAGATGCTGGTGGTGAGTAGGTGAGGGCAGAGGCCGGCACGGGACCCTTAGCCTCTCCTGGCTGTGCCCCGAGTCACTCGAGCCCTGCAGCCTGCAGGGTGGGGGACAGTTTCCCCTGGAGCCTTGGGTACAAATGAGAGTCCAGGGCATCCTCCCCACGCTGTCCCGCTGGCCTCATTGGTAACCTGGAAGCAATCATTCATTCATTAAAAAGGGACCATTGGCCTAGCCAGAAGGGTCCCAAGTTCGATTCCGGTCAGAGGCATGTACCTTGGATGCGGGCACATCCCCAGTAGGAGGTGTGCAGGAGGCAGCTGATCGATGTTTCTCTCTCATCGATGTTTCTAATTCTATCTCTCTCTCTTCCTCTCTGTAAAAAATCAATTATATATATATATATTTTTTTTTTTTAAAGGGACCACTGAGCACCTAGAATCTACTTAAATCATAGGCAGATGTTCATTATTCAATGGGGATTTACTGAATACATAGATCATGCCAATTACCGTTGCAGATGCTAGAGGCATGTCAGTGAATAAAGGAAATCAAAATCCTTGTCTTCATGAAGTCTACGTTCTTTTATTTTTTTAAACCCTTTCAACATAATTTTAGACTCAATGAAAAGTTGCAAAAACGGTACAAAGACTTCCTAAATACCCTTTGCCCAGATTCTCCAAGTAGTAAAATTCACCACACTTGTTTTATTTTCCTCTTTACCTTACCTATCTTTTTTCCTGAATCATTTGAGGATAGATTACAAACTTGATGTGCTATTACCTTTTTCAGTGTATTTCTTAACAACAAGGAGGTTTTCTTATATAACCATAAAACAATGATCAAACTCAGGAATTTAACATTGATTCAAGACTAGTAGCTAATCTGTGGATCTTATTTGAACTTTACCAATTATCCCAACACCATCCTTTAGACCAGTGGTCGGCAAATTCATTAGTCAACAGAGCCAAATATCAAGAGTGCAATGATTGAAATTTATTTTGAGAGCCAAAAACCGACTTCTGTGCATGGGCCACGAAGTTTCAATCACACTGTCTGTGTGAGCCCCCACGTGGTATTTTGTGGAAGAGCCACACTCAAGGGGCCAAAGAGCCACATGTGGCTGGTGAGCCTCGGTTTGCCAACCACTGCTTTAGATGAAAATGAAAGCAATCTGGGAATCACACATTGCATTCAGTTGTCACACCCCTCGTCTAATACAATAAGAAACAGTTTCTTGGTCTTTCTTTGTTCTTATTTATTTATTTATTTATTTATTTATTTATTTTAAGGAACATAGATCAATAGACTATACCTCAGCTTGATTTGTCAAATGTTTCCCATGATTAGGTTGTACATTTTTGGGAGAAACTCCATAGAAATTGTGCTGTGTTTGCCATACATTGTATCAGAAAGCATATGACATCCATTTATCCCATTATGTGTGATGTTAACTTTGATCACTTTGTTAAGGTAGTGTCTGCCAGGACCATCTACTATAAAGTTGCTATTTTCCTCTTTATAATGTACTAAGGGCCAGTGCATGAATTTGTGCACCTTGAAAGGAATTGTGTGGGGAGAAACAAAGATGGTGATGGCATAGGTAAACACCCTAAACTTGCTGCCTCGCACAACAATTTCAAAACTACAACTAAAAGACAAAACGGACATCATTCAGAACCACAGGAAGGCTGGCTGAGTGAAAATTCTACAACTAGAAGAAAAGAGAAAAGCACACTGAGACTCACAGGAGCTGCGGAAGACAGAGGTACAGAGGTGAGGGCTGGCAACTGAGTACGATGCTGGCTTTTCTCAAATGGGAGGGAGACAAAAGTTCCTGACTGATCTGAACTCCAGTTCTGGGCAAGATTCTGGGGACCCAGACTCATTGGGGAAGAAACTGGACAGTCTGGCAGCGGGTGAAACTTGAGGGCAGCTTTCTCTCAGAAGCGCTTGCAGCAATTACCAAGGGACATCAATACCTGGGTGTCTCTTAGGGTAGGGCGGAAGGGAAGCCATTGCGGTTTGCTTCAACCTGAGATCCAGCCCCATGAAGCCATTGTTGCTTGCTTTGCCCTGAGACTCTGCCCCATTCAAGCTGAGCACAGAGGCCTTTGCAAATCTTGTCTCATAAAGGTGTCTCCAGCAGAAGTTCTCCCATAGTAGACACAGCTGATCCTCACAGCCAATTGGCCTAGATGTCAATTCCTCCCAGTGATTCCAACAACAATCAAGGCTTACCTACAACAAGACTGGGCACACAGCCTACAAAGGGGTGCACAAAGAGAGTCCACCTCAGGTAAATGGGGAGGCTGAGCCACTGAGCCCTATGGGACATCTACCACACAAAACCACTATTTCAACTCAGGAAGCAGCTAAAATGCAGAGACAAAGAGGCAGGTCAAAAATGAAGGAAATGGAGGAAAGCAAGTGACTGGACAGAGTTCAAAACCACAATTATAAGGTTACTCAAGAATTTTCTAGAAAAGACTAATAAATTTAGCGAGACCCTCAAGGATATGAAAAAGGACCAACTAGAAATTAAGCATACACTGACTGAAATAAAAAATATTATACAGAGATCCAACAGCAGACTAGAGGATCCCAAGAATCAAGTCAAAGGTTTAAAATACAAAGAAGCAAAAAACACCCAACTGGAAAAGAAAAAAGAAAAAAATTCAAAAATATGAAGAAAGTGTAAGGAGCCTCTGGGATAACTTCAAACATACCAACATCCGAATTATGGAGGTGCCAGAAGAAGAGAGAGAGCAAGACACTGAGAACCTATTTGAAGAAATAATGACAGAAAACTTCCTTCATCTGGTGAAAGAAATAGACTTACAAATCCAGGAAGCACACAGAATCCCAAACAAAAGAAGTCTAAAGAGGACCACACCAGGACACATCATAATTAAAATGTCAAGAACAAGAGACAAAGAGGGATATTAGAAGCAGCAAGAGAAAAACAGTTAGTTACCTACAAGGGAGTACCTATATGACTATCAGCTGATTTTTCAATAGAAACTATGCAGGCCAGAAGGGAATGGCAAGAAATATTGTGATGAATATAAAGTGATGAATAGCAAGAACCTACAACCAAGATTACTCTACACAGCAAAAATATCATTCAGAATTGAAGGGCAGATAAAGAGCTTCACAGATAAGAAAAAGCTAAAGGAGTTCATCACCACCAAGCCAGTATTATATGAAATGCTAAAAGAGAGGAAGAAGAAGAAACTCAGATCAGCTGCCTCTTGCATACCCTCTACTGGGGATGTGCCCACAACCAAGGTACATGCCCCTGACCAGAATCGAACCCGGGACCCTTCAGTCCACAGGCCGATGCTCTATTCACTGAGCCAAACCGGTTTCAGCTTGGTTGTAGGTTCTTGCTATTCATCACTTTGAATATTTCTTGCCACTCCCATCTGGCCTGCATAGTTTCTGTTGAGAAATCAGCTGATAGTCCTATGGGTACTCCTTTGTAGGTAACTAACTGTTTTTCTCTTGATGCTTCTATGATTCTCTCTTTGTCTTTTGCTCTTGGTATTTTAATTATGATATGTCTTGGTGTGGTCCTCTTTGGACTCCTTTTGTTTGGGGTTCTGTGTGCTTCCTGGATTTGTAAGTCTATTTCTTTCACCAGATGGGTGAAGTTTTCTGTCATTATTTCTTCAAATATGTTTTCGGTATCTTGCTCTCTCTCTTCTTTTGGCACCCCCATAATTTGGATGTTGGTACTAGGGGTGTGAATGCTGGGCAGGACCATGGCACATGGGAGCAAATAATTTTCAGCAATCACCAGAGGCTCCCCCAATGACAGCAACTGGCACCCCACCTTGGTCTGGCGCCTCCACTCATCTGCTCCACCATCCCACTGCGGTCGACGCCCACCATAATCTGCATTCTGCCACCTACTGCCGACACTCACCATGTTCTGTGAGTGGTCAGCGCACGTCATAGAGACCATTATTTGGTTGTTCCACTGTTCAGTCTATTTGCATATTAAGGTTTTATAGATAGATAGATAGATAGATAGATAGATAGATAGATAGATAAGGATCTCATAGGGGAGATGTAAATATCCTGTTTTCCATCAAACTTTCACCCACTAGCTCTAACATGCATTGAAGTTTCTTGCCTGTTATTATTGCGATGGCTGCCAATGGCAGAGCTTACACTCTAATGGGGAAAGATAGCTACAATATAACTCAGTAAAAGTAAAATATATAGGACGATGATATGTCACAGAGAAAAGTAAAGCAAGGAAGAGGAACGGAGTGTTTCTAATTTTAAATAGGGCTGTCAGAAAAAACCTTGGTCAGAAAGGGAGGACCTAAAAGGTGATGCACCTGAAAAGAGTCCAGGAAGAAAGGATAGATCCAAGCGAGGCCATGAAGTAGAATTTAGCTGGAATGTTCCATCCAGAAACAATTGGGTGGGGGGAGAGGGAGGGAGGAATTGAGTGTGTGGGGTGTGGCATAGAAGATGATGATGCCAGAGCATTAGCAAAGGCCTTGGAGGCTATAAGAATGTTTACTCTGAGTGAACCGGGAACTGACATGTTCTAAACAAAGACAGATATGATGGCTTCTTGTTCCTGGAAACTTATCCTCCGCCCTCTCACTGCTCCCTTGTGAGGAGAGAAAGTTTTTAATCTCCCTAACGTTGGCTCCCTCGCTGATAAAACAGCAAGAATGACGCCTTCACTATGGTGGTATAGTAAAAGTTACCTAAGATAAGGCACGGAAAAGGCTTAGCACAGAGCCTGGCAGGTAATAGTGCTCAATAAATAACCGTTATCATTTCTGTTCTTATCTCAGAACATGACTCAGCTGATTTCCCTGGGCAGGGGTGGGTTCAGGCCTGGCTCCATTTCTCCTCCGTGCTTGCTCAGCGCCTGACTCAGCACTCCCTGCAGCTCTCAGGTGTGCCACTCACAAGGCCGATAACACACAGGAGTTCTTACCTTTGTGACTGACCCGTGGACTTCCTGAAATTACAGGCAAAGTGTCATGTATTTGTAGTTATGTATATGGGCGTGAGCGGATTTCTCAAAGTGGTCCCTAACCCCAAAAGGTATGAGAAAAGGAGCACTTAGCTGGACTCTCTATGATAAAAGTTCTGGGTACAGCTCAGCAAATAGCTAATTTTTTGAGTCTCTGGGGAAGCATTTGGAGGCATCGGTTTTCTCATCTGTCATGAGGAAGTTGTGCAAGATGATTCTAGGTCTAGGATTCTATGACAGAATTCTCGGCATCCATTAAATAAGTGTATTTATAGACTGTGTATTTTCCTCCTTGTATCAGACCTTTAAAATGGTAGTAAGACCCGGGCCAGCATGGCTCAGAAGTTGAGTAGTGATCTTTGAACCAGGAGGTCAGGGTTCACATTCCCAGTCAGGGCTCATGCTCTGTCAGGGCACAGACTCGGGTTGCAGGCCTGCTCCCCAATAGGGGGCATGCAGGAGCAGCTAATCATGATTCTTTCTCATCATTGATGTTTCTATCTCTCTCTCCATTCCTCTCTGAAATCAATTTATTTTTTTTATTTTTTTTTAAATATATTTTATTGATTTTATACAGAGAGGAAGGGAGAGGGATAGAGAGTTAGAAACATCGATCAGGTGCCTCTTGCACACCCCCTACTGGGGATGTGCCCGCAACCAAGGTACATGCCCTTGACCGGAATCGAACCTGGGTTCCTTCAGTCTGTAGGCCGACGCTCTATTCACTGAGCCAAACCGGTTTTGGCTGAAATCAATTTATATGTAGGTAATGGCAAGTAAGTCCTAGGACTAATTTGTGTTTTCTGTTTTGCTTCCTTTTTACATCTATGCAAATTATCCTGGGGCTGCTACAGTGTAGCCTCTGACTGACTGGCCCCTCCCTTTATGGAGCAGCCAACACAGCATCCTTTAGGCCAGTGAGGGGCAAAGCCTCTGCTGGAGAGAAGGAGAAAGGCCACAGCTGCCATCTGCTGGGATAGGATTTCTACATATAGTTGCTCATCTACTACTTAAAAGCTTTGTGTAGCATCAGGGCTAGGGTCTCCACTTTATAGATATGGAAACCAGGAGTGAGACAGGTTTAAGGTCACAGAACATGGAAATGCCGGTTGATTCTAACTCCAAATGTCTGGTTTCTCCCACTTGATCATCCTGCCTTCCTGCGTAAATGTGTGGTCAGCCATGTTCCACAAGCCATTCATTTATTCGCTCTGTCAATGGATCTATAAATAGTGCTAATAACAAGACCCTATTTAACCAGAAGTGTACTAGTCCTGATTAACCAAGCAGAGTGGTGAATGCAGAGTCTTTGTTTGTGGCACCCATTTCCCAAGAAGCTGTTCCCCTCCAGGCATTTGTATCCCTTATTAACTTCAACATGATGCCAATCTGTAGTTCATTTCCTCTTTCTTTGAAAAAGGAACATCTTTTCTTCTCTATAGACTCTATATGTATATTATGAAACATACTTAGAATCAGGTTGTGTTTTCTCTAAGTTTCCCTAGGTATCTCAGTAAATAATAGTGGGATTTTTACTCCTAAAAACTACCTGAGCCTGACCAGTGTAGCTCTGTGGTTGAGCATCGACCCATAAACCAGGAGGTCATGGCTTGATTCCTGGTCAGGGCACATATCTGGGTTGCAGGCTCAATCCCCAGTAGGTGGCCTTCAGGAGGTAGTCAATCAATGATCCTCTCTCATCGTTGATAATTCTTACTCTCTCTCCCTCTTCCTTACTCTCTCTGAAATCAATTGGAGGGATATATATGTATTTTTTTAAACTATCTGAGGTAAATAGATAGAGCATAGACATACTGTCTCATTACTAAATGAGGATTTTTTTTTTGCATAATGGTGGTTTAATGAAGGTTTAAAAGATTTTTAAAAGTAAAAAGTAAACAATGAATTAAAGACTGAGAAGCACAAGTCCTCTGAGGAAAGATTAAAGAAACTGTAGATTATTTATCAGAGAAAAAGAGAAGGCTACAAGACTGAATTCTCTTCAGACTGAATATCCGTTCCTCCCTCTGACAAGGAACACAACTTTAGATGAGTTTTAACATTGCTACTTATTTGTCCCCTTTTCCCCCACATGCTTACTCTGGTAGATGAGAATCAAAATCACTGTAGCAACAGAAAATTTTTCATAAAAAAATAGAGCACTTGCTCTGGCCAGTTTTTCTCAGTGGTTAGAGCATTGGCCTGAGGACCAAAGGGTCCTGGGTATGATTCCTGGTCACGGGCACATACCTCAGTTGTGGGTTCAATCCCCAGCCCTGGTCAGGGTGTGTGCAGGAGGCAACCAATGGATGTGTTTCTCTCACATCAATTGATGTGTTTTTCTTCTCTTCCCCCTGGCCCCCTTCCACTCTCTCTTAAAAAAAAAAAAAAAAAAAAATCAATGGAAAATATATCCTTGGGTGAGGATTTTAAAAAAGAAGAAGAATAGAGCACTCATAATCTCAACATTTAGGAGCTCCTAACCCTTATAAACTCAATCTACCATAGCTATCTCTTTCTTCCTCATATTCTCTCTTCTCACACTATAAATTGGGAATTGTATTTACTCAACACTTTAAAAAAAAAAAAAAAATAGCGCTATCTGCCAAAACCGGTTTGGCTCAATGGATAGAGCGTCGATCTGCGGACTGAAAGGTCCCGGGTTCTATTCCGGTCAGGGGCATGTACGCTGGTTGTGGGCACATCCCCGGTGGGGGGTGTGCAAGAGGCAGCTGGTCGATGTTTCTCTCTCATCGATGTTTCTAGCTCTCTATCTCTCTCCTTTCCTCTCTGTAAAAAATCAATAAAATATATATATATATATATATATATATATATATATATATATATAATAAAATAAAGGCAGATGCCATTGCACAGCTGAGCACTTTAAAAAAAAAATTAGCGCTATCAGAAAAGATGGAGCTCAGAATTATTTCAGTCCATCGAGTCACAGCAGCACAGAATCTGGTTGTCAGACTAGAGCCTCGTGGATCACTCGGTGCCTCCCGCACCTAGCAGCTTCCTCCAAGGGCTTCGCTGCCGGAGGGTCAGTGAGAGCCCACCCAGAGAGAGGGCTCTCAGAACTGTGAAGTAGCCCATGATGAGGCTTTCCCAAACATCATTGGTTCCCTTCTCTCTCCCCCACCCCCTATAACTATATGCCCCTCTCTCACTTCAGATTTTTCTCCCTCGCAGAACAAGAGAGTAGCCAAAGAAAATGGCTGAGGGATGCAAGATGAGGCTGGGTCTGGCACTGCTCACCCTCTAGGAAAATTGGTGCATTATACCAACTTGCTTTAAAGGGAACCTTATTTCAGAAAGACCAAGCACTGCCACCAATTTTCTATGTGATCTTAGATGGTCTTCTAAGTTCTCTGGGTCATCAGAAACTTGGGGATAAGGTCACAGAATTCTGGTGACAAGGGACAAAATATATGTTTTAAAGGGGTTGGGAAAGCTATGCAAATGCAGGAAATTGTGTGACTGTGTTTGTGGACTCATGTGTCTGTTTTGTGTTTCCTTTAAAACAGGGATCCATTTGCAATGATTTCTTGGTGCTGATGTGCTTCCCTACTTGTGCCCTTTGCCAACTCAAGAGAGACATTGAAAAAAGAAAACATATGAATGCTTTTTAAAGATGTTTGGTATGTTGGTGGGAATTCTTGGTTTATAAGTATCAGCATAAAATTCCAAAGCCGTCTTTTATTTCCTTAGTACGGTCTCAGAGGGACATGAGATGCTCCTTAACCAATGGAGGGCCAATGGTCTTTAACTGCCAGCCCACGCCAATCAGCGGGCCGTCCCTTTCCGGGGCCAGATTGAGAGGACTGAGCCTAGCTGCATAGGAGTTGTGTGACTCTTTAAAGGTGTCTGCCACCACAGGAGTGCCCATGAGATGGGTCAAATAACCCTAACCACCTTAGATACCGCATAACTGAAGGTAGCAGAGATATGTGCACGACCAGATATTCACCTGTTTAAGCCTGGATCTCAAATCCACAGCCACCAGCAGTAACCAACTGAGACGCGACGCTGTGTGGCTGTGAAATGTGCCTACGTATGTGTTCCAGTCAGCACCAGTGTTAAGATAATAACTCATTCTTCAAAGTGGCGGGAAACCCTTTTAGTCTCTGTAAATGATGTGTGGACAATCCTCCGAGTTATCCAAAGTGCCTGACCCCATTTTTAGTCTTCTCACGTCTTCCTCTTCCTCTCAGGCACGAGGGCAATGGCCTATCCAGTCCTGTCTTTCGATTTCTTCCGCCAGTCCCCTTCATGTTTGCAATCAGAGTTTATCTTTCACCTGAACATGGCTATTCTCTGTAAAAGCCCTCGATCAGGATGGCGCGTTCGGCTGTGTGATTGGCTGATGCTGACACCTGCCTGTCTCTCTCTGAGCTCTTTTTGCCACAGCGGCACAAAGCAGTGGCCTCTTCATGCGCCTTGCTTCCGTGTGTTTCATGTTTAGTGCCATTTGCCTTCTGATTGTTTTATATGGCGTCCCTCAAGGACCAAAATGCTCAATTCACTTTCAAGCAAAGTCAAGATGGAGAGTTTTCATATCATTATACCCTACCTACTCAGAATTGACTGTTATCTTACTTCCCAGGCAATGATGCTTTAAAAAAAAAAAAAAAGTTTTTATTGATTTGCGAGAGATAGGAAGGTAGAGGGAAGAGAGAAACATCCATCAGCTGTCTCCTGCATGCCCCCAACTGGGGATGGAGTCCGAAACCCAGGCAGGTGCTCTGCCCAGGCATCCAAGCAGCGACCTCTCAGTGCATAGGATGATGGCCAACCCACTAAGCTACATCTGCCAGGGCAACAGTGATGCTTTTTAAAAGTCCTATGTTACCAACCTGACTCAGAATTTGATGCCAAAGTAGCCCTTGAGCCCTGACTGGTTTGGCTCAGTGGATGGAGCATCAGGACTGAAAGGTCCCGGGTTCAATTCTGGTCAAGGGCATGTACCTTGGTTGCAGGCTCGATCCCCAGAAAGGGGAGTGCAGGAGGCAGCTGACTGATGTTTCTCTCTCATTGATGTTTCTAACTCTCTATTCCTCTCCCTTCCTCTCTCTAAAAAAATCAATACAAATATATTTAAAAAAAGAACACACACACACAAAAAAAAAACACAAAGTAGCCCTTGAGGAATTAGAATGTGGCAGTTGACTGGTCTAGTCTTCATGAAAAAGATTGTTTTAGGTCTCTGCTCTTTAGATACTGTTACCTTCACATGTCTGATGATTCATTGTCATTTGGTCACAGACTTTAACTGTGGCAGTCTACTCTCAACCACCTAGCAATAGTGCCTGACACATATTGTGAATGAAAAATGAACACAAGTTTCAGCCAAAAAACAAAAATTGAGGCTCATCTCAGTCTTAACTGGTGGCCATGATTCTTCCTAATAAACTGTATTGAACCAGGAGCCATTGTTTGATGTAGATTTTAAATATGTGAAGTTTGGCAGTGCAGTAGGGGTGGAATAGAAGTTTTGATATTTGGAATAAAATCATCTAAAGAAAGATGGGACCAATAAAGCCTAATTTTTCACTCATTTGTTCTCTCTCTCTCTGATCCGTACAGGTAAAATTTACATTGTGGTGAAAGGAAATGCTGGGATGAAATGCTGCATTTATTAAGTGCTATCTCACCTCAAATATTGGAAATTAATGCCATTAATCGTATTGGAAATTAATGCAATTAATCAAATGACTTCAGAACATTTTTATTTCCAGTTAATTTTGAAAGATATATGTTTCCAGTGCTGTTCTATACGATAACTGCCATTAAAAACATTGATTCCCTCAACAGTTCTTGTGTCTTTAAAAACGGCCTCATGGGTAATTACAATAAACTTTTTAAAAAATGAACCCAAGGTTGTCAAAGTTGAATGATGGATAGGAGGGGGTTCTTTATTCTACTTTTCTGCCTTTAGATGTGTTTCCACACAAAGGTTTTTAAATGTTGTCGAGTAAAAAGCTTTTATTACTTTGGATTTTCCCTCCCCTGGGGGCTGGGCGTTACCCTGTGCGGCCCCTCCCTTTGGGAGCCTGAGTGGCATCTGGCACTTCTTCGCGGTCTTTTAAAGTAAACCCACTCCAACAACGTGGAGTTTACTGTAGATTACATAAACAAAAGAGAGGATTTCTGTTTTTAATCACAAAACTCCTGACTGAAATTCCCATTGGGCATTTCTATCCTCCCCGAAGTCATCTCCACACACCTCCTCCCCTCAGGCTAATGTGGCATCAGTAGCGATGGTCTACATATAAATCCCTAATATGCAAATAGACCAAACGGGGGACAACCACAGAGATGTGCGCTGACCACCAGGGGGCGTGCGTGGAACATGGCAGGCGTTGGCAGCAGGTGGCAGAGCACAGAACATGGTGGGCAGGATGGTGGAGAGGTGAGCAGGGGCACCAGACCATGGTGGGGTGCTGGCTGCTGTTATCAGGGGAGCCTCTGGTGGTTACTCAAAATTATTTGCTCCTGCAGGCTGCAGTCATGCTGGGTGCTTGCACCTGCTGCCAGTGCCAGCCCTGCTCCCAGGCAGCTCACACCAGCTGGCCCAGTGCTGGGGTGGGGGTGGGTCTTGAGATCCCTGATCAAGCCCTGCCTCATGAGGGGTGCAGCCTGAGGCCCCCTGTCAAGCCCCACAGGGTGGGAGTGCACGGCCTGAGGTCCCTCTCCCTGGCCAGGCACCATGCAGCCTCAGGTCCCTGCTGTTTGGTCGTGATGTGACAGTGATCTGGCTAATTTGCATATTCCTCTATTTATAAATAGATATTGAAAACTGATTACCATAATAAGTTTAGTTAATATCTATCACTACACAGTTACAATTTTTTTTTCTTGTGATGAAAACTTGTAAGATGTACTCTCTGGGCAATTTTTAAATATGCGATGCAATATTATTAACTACATTTACCATACTGTGTCTTTTATCCCCAGGAATTATTTATTTTATAACTAGAGGTGTTTATTTGTTTTTTACTGTCTTCACCCATTTCATGTACACACATCCCTCCCTCTGGCAACCACCAATCTGTTCTCTATCTATGAAAGTGTGTGTGTGTGTGTGTGTGTGTGTGTGTATCTGTGTTTCTGTGTGGTTTTGTTTTTGTTTTAGATTTCATGTATAAGTGAGATCATTTGGTATTTGTCTTTCTCTGTTAGACTCATTTTACTTAGCATAATACCTTCCAGGTTCATCCATGTTGTTGCAAATGGCAGGATTTCCTTTTTTATGCCCAAATAATATTCCACTGTATATATATATATATATATATATATATATATATATATATATATATACCATGTTTTCTTCATCCATTCATCTATTGGTGGACACCTTGGTTGTTCACATGGTCTGTTCACATAATGCAGCAGTGAACAGGGGGGTGGTTCACATACATTCTCAGTGCAGAGCAATTTAGTTTCACCTCAGATTTCTACGCCCAAACCACAACCCCAAAGGCACAGGATGGCAGTGGAATTCGGTTATTAAACAAAATATATTCTCCAGGTAGCTTATTAGGTGCCAGCGGAGGAGGGGAGAAGGGAGCTGGGTGAAAAAAAGTGAAGGGGTTGAAAAAAACAAACAAACAAACAAACAAACAAACAAACAAAAAACCACTTCATAGACAGACAACAGTATGGTAACTACCAGAGGGAAAGGAGATGGTGGGCAGGTAGGAGAGTGTAAAGGGGAGATGAATGGTGATGGAAGGAGGCTTGACTTGGGGTCGTGAACACACAGTACAATATATGGATGACACCGCTTGGGTTCCAGGGTTTTAAACTCATAATTGTGGTGTTCCCCTCCTCTCAATAAATTTGGGCATTTGATTAACATTTTTTAAAATAAAAAAATATGTGTAAAGAGAGAGGATATATTTTATTTAATTGTACCCTTGAAACCTATATAATTTTATTAACCAATATCACCCCAGTAAATTCCTGTTAAAAAAAAATTACAACATACTTCATACATAAAAATTATGGTAAATAGGTGGTTTTTAAAACATTGGGCTGAGAACATCATTCTCCCACTCTTCCTCTCTTTCTTGCCCCCCCATATTTTAGAGTTACTCATTTTCCTTTAACAAATGTTTATGGGTATTCTCCCACTCTTGACATCGTGCTTTATCTTGTGCATTCCAAATGCCTAATCTCCCTCACACCAGGCTGCTTCCCTCGGTGAAATCAAAACCCCCCCTTAAATGCCCTGCACACCAGAGGGAAGTTGCTAGAGCCGGACACAGCAGCCCCTCTGGGAAGTTGGCTGCAGGAGAGGGGAAACTGTAGGACAAGCATGTCAGACTCATGGGCCACTGTAGAGAGCGCCTTGGAAGACACATTGAGTATTTAATTATTGTCAGCTGAGTCCAGTGGCGCTGTCAGAGCCATGTCTTGGAAATGCACCGTGCCAGAGGCAGGCACTTGTCAGCCTGACCCTCAGCTCAGGTGCCAGGGGGTGGGTTTCATTATCAAAGTTCAGCCAGGTGCAAAGAACGGATGCAATTATCTGGCCTTAGCCAGGAGTGACTATTGCAAAGAAGCCACAAGAATGAAAAATTACAGCTTGATCTTTAACTATTACAGCTTGATCTATGACTATAGCTTG